TCCAAGTGTAAAGGTTGTGCTAGGTTTACCTGATAACTAGAGCTTGTATTGTTTTGAAATACATCAAGGCTGGCATTGGACAGCAGCGTAATGTAGAACCCTTCATTTATCTCCATGGCTGTAATGAAGGACTGAGCGTTGAGTCTGTTTGTTTTTATACATCTTTGATTTCGACAACATCAACCCAGCTGTTGAATTTCTCTGGCCAGTTCTTCCAACATACAAACATTTGTTTTTTCCCTCTCACCACACGCCTTTTCAGAATTTTCTCCACCTGAAAAGCTTTGTCAGTGGATACCTTCACTTTTTGTAACTCTTTCTCATAAAAAGTCCCCTTGATCTCTTCTCCATCATAATCTATGAGTTTGTAAACAGGTGGCTGCCGAGGTAAGCCTTCAGACACCGTAAATAATTTGTCTGTATAACTCTGCTCATATTTTTTATCGAAAATCCCTCTCAATTTGGATATTCTTACAAGATCCCCCTCCTTAAAGTTCATTTTCGTAGCAGCTTTTTTACGATGGCTAGAGGGGGTATACAGGTTACGAAACACTTGAGCTGCATTTTCCTTGGTCACCTGTCATTTTAATACTTCGATGATAACTATTATTGTAACTTTCAATTAGTTCAGGTAAGACGTCTATATATCTATGAGTGTTTTTAGCTGTAAAATACCGCCACATTTTAGTTTTCAGCGTACGGTTAAATCTCTCTACCACACACGCCTTTATATCACTGGCTGTTGCATAATGTGCAATTCCTCGTTTCTTCAATAAGGCTTGAAAAACTTTGTTAAAGTATTCTTTCCCTGCGTCTGTTTGTATCTTTTTAGGAATCTGACTGTGTGTTAAAATTGTATCAAAGGCTTTGGTAACCTCTATACCCGTCTTCTTCTTTAATGCCTGAGCATAGGCTTTTTTCGAAAATACATCTATGACTGTTAACAAATAATTAAAACCATCATTAGGTTTGGACAGCGACTGCATATCGCAAAGATCTGCTTGAAATTGTTGTAGCGGTCTGAGTACGAAAACTCTGTTTCTTACAAAATGCACCCTAGCCGGCTTATGCAAAGTATATGCATCCTGTCCAGATAAATATTCTCTGACTTTCTCTACATTTACTTGTTTACCCATTTCATTCTGTACAGCTCTATGGAGTTTGTCAACGCCCCCTAAACTCCCTGGATTAGAAGGAGTGTAATACACCCTTTGCATGACACGTTTCTCAGACATGTTCCCTGTTACTGCCCCGATGAGGTAATGAGTACAACAGTTTTTCTTACAACGCATTTTATTGATATGTCACACATGTATCAAAAAAACATTTTCTCCAAGCAGAGAATAATAAAACAATTTAAAAACCAAAAAACATGATTTTTAGGAAGGACACACTAGATCAAGTAAAATAAAAAATAAAAACGTCACACTCTTCCTATTGCTGCCAAAAGTCCCAAGCTGCTCTTATATTCTTCAGTTGGGTCTCGTCGTTCTCTACAAGCTGGTCATAAAGCTTCTCGATTTTAGCCTCAAAGAGTCTGGTGTTTCTGAGATTGTGCAGAATCGCCTCAGCAGCTCCAATGACCCGCTTCCCCGAGACATGAAGGTGGCCCGGGTGTAGAGCATCCCGAATGGCTGGAATGAAACGAACGGTCCACAGTCTCTTTACCACTTCATCATAGTTTCGATCCAGATAGTATTCTTCGGTCGGAAACAAACACTCATGTTGCAATTGACTGGGATGATCGACTTGACATCCGTAACATTTTTCCTTTCTGTACAGATGCAAGACCCTATCCAGCAGATGAACTACCACAGCTTTTACCGTATTCAGGAACGAAGCTGTCCTTTCTCCTTCTGTAGCATCACCCTCTGGAGCATAAGGAAAGTATGGCAAATCAACGCCGGCTGCGGGGTAAGTTGTTGATTCCCCTGGAGACTTGGGTTGAGACTCGGGTGGAGTAGATGGTGGTAGATACATATCCAGCCAGCCATCAGCATAGCCGTGGAGCTCGGGTGTACAGATTGTTGGAGATGATGGGGGTCCTCCAGGCGTTTGCTCAAGGCAGCTACTCGCTAGGAGCGACTTGTTTTTTCTCAGATCCATGGTTAGTGTTCAACGAATGTCCTTGAGGGGTCCTTACTTTTAAATGATCTGGTGAGGAGGGTGGGACTTGTTATGTTGAGTGGGAGGCGGAGTCGTCTGCAAAAGTGAGAGTCTTTTCACCAGTATAATGTCCATCGATGTCTGACTCTGTTTAAAAAGTTCTATAAGCTTTGTAGATTTCTCATCAATCATTTTCAGCCAAGTAGTCAGAGGCACACGCAAGGATGTTTGAAAAACCCCGCATGTAGAGTTGAAATACTCCAAAACAAAATCATCAGAGGGGTCCTTCCCCAGCGTCACCAAACGGCTTGAGCGGTAATACCAGCGCCCAGATGGTCCGCTTTTAGTTTCCCAGACGGTGCCTGTCAGGACTCTTCCCTCTTGAGGGGTAGCGGTGAAAACTCTTCTTTGATCTCGCATGCTGTCTTTGTTTCTTTGCTTTTCTTTGCAAATATCTTGTACACCGCTGGTTCCACTATGGTTTCTTGATGCACTACTTCTTCTGATACAGTGGTTGCGTGGAGATCTCTGGAAGACACCAGAGTTAACACAGCCCAATCTGTTGAGGTCAGTGTCACTTTAACACTGCGGGGTCCATACGTTTCTCCATTCTTCAGATTGTAGAAATGCAGTTCATTCGCCATATAATTGGATACATAACCCCAAACATTGCCATTTTTCAGAGTCCATTCTTCATGAAGTTCTTCGGCTGGAGGCGTCTGAACCCTGCACATATACTGCATCCGTTTCTTGATTGGCGCTCCCGACGGATGGCTGTAAGTTGTCACAGGCGTCTCGCTGATTAAACCCATCTCGAGGCGTCTCTTGGCCATTTTTCTTTTTTGAAAGATGACTGGATGAGTGGAAACGACTGGCTTTTTATTTATTTATCTAACTCCACGCCCCACTGTCTTCTGACATCACAGTCAAAGGAAGGGGTGTGAGGGGGATGGTGGGGGACATCAACAGCATAATGGGGTTGGCCCACCTGTCAGATTATATGCATACTAATGTGATTGAAGCAGCATTTTATTTATTTTTTTTAATAATATTTTTTTTTTTTCACACCTGTGAATACACAACACCCCCTCCTATCGACGGATCTCACACCTACTCGGGATATCACACCTACTTGCGATTTCACACCTCGACCAAATGGGAGGCGGGACTTAGCTCATTTGCATAAGTAGTAGAGGTGTGACCTGTCACATTTGTGTGCATACTAATGAGACGAATGCGGCATGTGTATAACTAATAGCATCTATTGGAAATGCTTCTTTATATTTCTTCATCAAGAGACATTGAGCCTAACTGTTGTAGTCAGCCTCTCAGAATGTCAGCAATTTATCCCTCAATCTATTAGATTTACTAAAGCATATTTATAAGTTGGACTGTTTACAACATTTCACCATTTAATCATTTCCTTCTCTCTTAACTTCTCTAATGTTTAGTTTTTAATTTCTTATTGTTGTTATTGTAATGTTCTTTATTTTTATTGTGAGAAGCACTTTGAAATTGTATAAGTACTATATGAATAGTTATACTAACTGTATTGTGATTATCATCATTACTATTATTTTCTAAGATTTTCTTTGTTGTCTTTTTTATGGCTGCAGGAAGGATCATGCCAGCCCACATCAAACAGTCACATTAAAACAGTTACTAAATGAGCCTACTATCACCTAAAGAACATATCTAGGATTAAAAGACTAATGTCACAGCAGGATTTGGACAAACTTGTCCATGCTTTTATCTTCAGTAGACTGGACTACTGTAATGGTGTCTTCACAGGTCTCACTAAAAAATCTATTAGAAAGCTGCAGCTGATTCAGAACGCTGCTGCTCGAGTCCTCACTAACACTAAGAAAGTGGATCACATCACTCCTGTTCTGAAGTCTTTACACTGGCTTCCTGTGTGTCAAAGAATAGATTTCAAAATACTGCTGCTGGTTTATAAAGCACTGAATGGTTTAGGCCCAAAATACATTTCTGACCTACTGCTAAATTATGAACCATCCAGATCTCTCAGGTCTTCAGGGACTGGTCAGCTTTCTGTCCCCAGAGTCAGAACTAAACATGGAGAAGCAGCGTTCAGTTATTATGCTCCAAATATCTGGAACAAACTCCCAGAAACCTGCAGGTCCGCTGAAACTCTTACTACTTTTAAATCCAGGCTGAAGACTTTTCTTTTTGCCGCTACTTTCAATTGAACTATTCATATCGATGTAGTATTGTTAGATGTGCCAAGAGCAAGGACTGTCTTAGGTAAGACAGCTTTTATGTGTGCAGCGCCACTTGCTTGGAACAGTCTACAGCTCAAATTGAAACTGAGCAATTTTATTCCTCTGAATGTTTTTAAAGCAAGTCTAAGTGAAATGCTCTTTGAAACTATGGGTATTTGTAAATGTTGATAAGTATGTAAATGTAGCTTGTAAATATGTTGTATGATATCCTCTATTGTTTTATGTTGTTTCATGTGGAACATAATTGCTGCAGGTCTCCCTTGAAAAAGAGATCTATGATCTCAAGGGACAATTCTGGATAAATAAAGGTTTGAAATGAAAATATCTTAAACTGCACTGTAACTTTTATTCATGTATTTTTTCTTTTAATGTTTATTTTATTATCTTTGCTTTGTAATGACTGTTTTTAAATGCCATTTTCTTAATGTCTTTCATTTTTGTAAAGCCATTTGAATTGCCTTGTGTTGAAAAGTGCTATATAAATAAACTTGCCTTGCCTTACATTAAACCTGCCTGATTGATTTACACACCAACAATTACAAAAAGAAAAAGAGAGACACATGAATTTCTTAAAATAGTTTGTATTCTGGTCATTGTTAGCTTCTGACAGAAATCATTTTGCAAACAGGAAATCTAACAGAATACAGTGTGCATGATTATATAAATAAATAGTGTGTATAAATAAGAACATTAACAGTGCATTGCTATGACATCCAAAGATTAAGATTATAACACAGTATGCATTTGTTCTGAGTTGGAAAGTGTAGCCCACAAGGAGCTGCATTTGTTACTTCCAAAACTAAAACATAGCATTTAAATAACCTTCACTACGAAAAATAATGCCAAAGGAAAGTGCTTACTGGAGCAAGAGGAATTAGTATTAGTGCAATTGTTGCCTTACATCCCAATGTTATATTGTTATGCCTATTATTATTGTGCTATTTGAATGGAGGATTAACATTAATTTCATTGCACGTGTTACCCAAATCTGTAAATCACGAAAGACACCGGAGTCCTTTCTCAAATGAGTGGCACTACGGCCATTGGCTGGACAGTAGCCATGACAACAGTACAAGGAAGGATGCAGTGATCGGACTGATGTAATGGCTCACTCCACTTGAATCTGAAAGGAAAAGAACGAAACAAACTTTAGTTAAACAAGTGTGCATCTTTTGACTGCACTGCTGATTAAGTAGCTCAGTTTGACTTACAAATGCCATTCAGGTCGAGCAAGCTGCCTTCAATGTCGAAGCCGATGACGCTTGCAGCTGCGCTCATTAAGACCTGCGCTATCTGATTGTTATTAGGAACAGATGTGCTTGAAAAGCTGAGGTCCATGTTGTTGACGATCGATCCATTACTGCAGAAGAAAAAATCGTTAATGTTTGAAATATCAGATTTAGGCCACTATTCATAAACTGTCACTCGATATGTCATAAAACAAATTACCTGAATGAATTCACTTCCAAGAACTTGAATGAAGGGAATTCCCTTTGAAAAACAGGTATAAGCTGCAGACAGAGGAAAATACAAAGGTATACAACTTTTCACTTTACTCTCAACATTGAACTGTGAACATATGAGAGCATTTATTTGTTTATATATTCAGAGATCGTTCTTAGAGTGAGACGTACCTGTTCTTTAATCTTCGCTGCCCGATTTATATAAGCTGTAGATGATGGATTCAGCAAGTCACTTGTAAAGTCGGTGAGAAGGGACCTGAATATAACCCTTTTTATAACGAGTGCTTCAGTTATGGGTGCAGCAGTGTTGGGTGCTTCAGGTCTAGGCGTGGGAGCTGTAGTTGGATCTGTCACTGGACTTTCTGTAAAACAAAAATCCGTTTAGCAGAGTCATATAATCTAGTTTTGAACTAGCTAATTTGAAAAACCAGTTCAGTTAATAACAATTCCTTTAATATCATTATTTTGGTTAATAGTAGTTAAGATAATTGATTATCATGCAATGTTGTCTTCAATAATCTGTACCTTCATTTAGTTTCAAAGTAGAATCATTTAGGTGATGTATTTATCAACAGAGCATAAGTACCTCATGTTTTCTATATGTTTTAAGATCTGAAAATGACTAAATACTGTGTTGTGGATACTTACCTAATATCTTCACTGAGTTGGGATTTATGCTCAAGTTGAAGGCATTGTTGGAATTATTGACAGCTAGTACGAAGTCTTTAATAACAACAGAATTCATTGGGAGTTCTGCATGAGAAGTATTCCCATGGAACACAGCTATGAAAGTCGCCTGAGTTTCAGTAACTCGTGTTACATTTGAGGCACTGTATCAGAAACACAATGAGGAAAGTGATATGAGATTATAACATGTCTTTTGATATGTAAGATTAACTACCAATATTAGAAGATACACATGTTGAACTCTATATTAATAAATATTCAGAGAAGAACTCAAATCACAAATATTTATTTACCGGAATTCTTTCAAAAGGCAGTGGGAAAATGTGTTGGGATATTTTGTTCTGTATATGTTACCACACTGCAAAAAGAAACAACATTGAAGGATTAGCTTTCAAGCGCAGTTTTCTAAAAGGCAATTATGAAGATATGCAACATTAAAAGGCCATGATTAGCTTTCATTGACATCTTAAACTTTCCATCCGATTGTTCATTCACGTTCAAAGCAATTCATTTACATTTGTGCGATTTGAAAATGCACTCACCGCATTTAAAATTCTTTTTTCAAGTGCTTTGTATTCCTTGCTGCTGGTGTTAGTGAGGGCAGGGGAAAAAGCTTCTCCTATCAATTGAATGTCTAGAACGTAATTATAATCCGGGGCTGCTGTGTTTGTTGCTGCTGCAGCTGGTGTGGTTGCTGGTGCATCAGTCGTAATCGGATCTGGAACTGGACTTTCTGTAAAACAAATATATTAACAATATGTGAATACATTTTAGTGCAAACACTCAAAGGATATATTTATCCTTGTATGATGTAAAATGTACTTTGGTTACAGTTTCACAGACCAATAGGAACCATAATAAAAGGCTTTCAAAAAGTAGCCTTTGCAAACATTCTATTATCTTATCTAGTGAATGATGAGTAACGATTTATCAGTAAATAAGAGATTATTCACTTAAAATGCTTTCTTACTGAATATAAAATAGTTTGGAGAAAAGCTCGTCCTGCATGGATTGGACTGTACAACACTGAATGTTGTTGAGGTTTTCAGTATGAGTTCAGTTGCTGACTTATTTATGAACTGAGCTTGAGCAGCAGATTCTATTCCAAATGTATTTCAAATGATGATGGTAAAATAATTTGTTATGTTTACTTACCCTAACACTTTGACTGAAGCAGGATTAATGCTCAGGTTCGGACTATTGGTGAAATTATTCAGAGCTTCTACTAAGGTTTGAGCAACAACATCATTCTGTGGGAGATCTGTGATGGCAGTAGTCCCATGGAACACAATCCCCACAGTTGCTTGAGTTTCGTTGTCTTTTGGTGGATTTAAGGCACTGTATCAAAGAAAAGAGAGGAAGAAGTGTTATACTATGATATGAGATGATCCTGGTTCTGTTTTAAATAGGTGGTTATGATTCCATCTCGATTGGAAGTTACCAATGTTAAGTTCTCAATCATTCATATATAATTCAATCAGAGAAGCACACTTTGATTTTCATTTACCTGAAGTTTTTAAAAATGCAGAGGGAAAACGTGTTTGGAAACAAGCTTCTGTATTTCTTGTTGCACTGTGAAAAAAAAGCAACATTCAGAGACCATGAGTACATTTCAAGCACATTTTTTAACAAATGAAATTACAACAAGTCAACAGAATTTATCTTTCTATTTAAAAAAAGTGATTCTTTGGGCAAACACATTCTGTTCAATCATCTTTTTCACATTGCTTCTGAAATCAATAACAGATGTTTATTTTGAAAATGCTCTCACCGCATTTAGAGCTGCTGTTTCAAGTGCTTTGTATTCATTGCTGTTGGAGTCAGTGAGGGCAGGTGAAAAAGCCACTTCTTTAAATTCTGCTGAGAGAATATAAGTGGGTTCTGCAGGTGTTGTTGCTGTGGATGGTGTGGTTGTAGGTGGAGCAGTCGTAATCTGATCTGGAACTGGACTTGCTGTGAAACAAATACATATTAAAAAGGATATGTTAGTACCAACCAAATGTTAAATTAACCGATCAGAAAGGACGATTCATTGTGATGTGTTAACTTACATAATACTTTGACTGAAGTAGGGTTAATGCTCAGGTTAGGACTATTGGTGGAATTATTCAGAGCTTCTACTAAGGTTTGAGCAACAACATCATTCTGTGGGAGATCTGTGATGGCAGTAGTCCCATGGAACACAATCCCCACAGTTGCTTGAGTTTCGTTGTCTTTTGGTGGATTTAAGGCACTGTATCATAGAAAAGAGAGGAAGAAGTGTTATACTATGATTAGGGCTGTCAAACGATTACAATTTTTAATCAGATTAATCACAGCTTAAAAATTAATTAATCATGATTAATCACCATTTGAAATATGTCCAAAATATGCCATTTATTTATGCATATTGTTGTGGGAATGGAAAGATAAATGAAAGAAGGCGGATATATCCATTTAACATACAGTATCTATGTTTATTATAACATTTTTCTGCGTGTCAAAATGAAAGACAACCCACACACCTATCAATCATCAAACCGTGGGGTCTTAATTCATTACGTGTTGATTTCTATCAACGGGGGAGTACTTCAGGAAAGTCGACGGGGGGGGGGGGGGTCGGAAAGTGGAGTACTTCGTGACCACAGAGTGTGAACGTTGTGATCAGCTGTTTTAGCGCCGTTCTCCAGTGAAGGGGGGGGGGGGGGAGTCTCCCTCCGTAGCCGGTTGGCGTAGTTTTGGCACAATTCCGTTGTACAGACCGACGTTAACAGCAGCCCTGTCTGTGCACACGGAGACCGACTCTGTCGTCCGGTGATCTAACCGCCTTCTGGAAAAGCTTCACAAGTACGTCGGTACGCAAATGCGCTTTGTGAAACAAGTGACGGTAGGCTACGCATTTCAGAGAGATTACGCACATAACCTGCGTACCAGTTATGTGCACCCCTGTACTACAGCAAAAGTATTCTCCGTCGGGACTTCCTGCAACAACACCACGCCGTTATCAAATATGTTCTATTGAGAAGACGATCACTACGTGACAAAAGTTTTCAAAACCGTGGCTACTGAAATCAATCTTACTAACTGCTGTCTGTGCAATTTACTCCGCGCGAGTTGGCAGACTTTATTTTGCTTCCTTTAACATCATTTTTCATGGTGGGGCTAAGCCATTTCTTGGTATGGGTGTAGCCTACCCCAGCCATACCCTGGCGCTGCCACTGGTGGCACGTATGGGGCGGGCCATTCTGCACATGCGTTAAATGCGTTAAATATTTTAACGCAATTAATTCAACAAATTAATTACCGCCGTTAACGCGATAATTTTGACAGCACTAATTATGATATGAGATGATCCTGGTTCTTTGTTAAATAGGTGGTTATGATTCCATCTCGATTGGAAGTTACCAATGATAAGTTCTCAATCATTCATATAGAATTCAATCAGAGAAGCACACTTTGATTTTTCATTTACCTGAAGTTTTTCAAAATGCAGTGGGAAAACGTGTTTGGAAACAAGCTTCTGTATTTCTTGTTGCACTGTGAAAATAAAGCAATATTCAAAGACCATGAGTACATTTCAAGCACATTTTTTAACAAATGAAATTACAACAAGTCAACAGAATTTATCTTTCTATTTCAAAAAAGTTATTCTTTGGGCAAACACATTCTGTTCAATCATCTTTTTCAAATTGCTTCTGCAATCAATAACAGATGTTTATTTTGAAAATGCTCTCACCGCATTTAGAGCTGCTGTTTCAAGTGCTTTGTATTCATCGCTGTTGGAGTCAGTGAGGGCAGGTGAAAAAGCCACTTCTTTAAATTCTGCTGAGAGAATATAAGTGGGTTCTGCAGGTGTTGTTGCTGTGGATGGTGTGGTTGTAGGTGGAGCAGTCGTAATCTGATCTGGAACTGGACTTGCTGTGAAACAAATACATATTAAAAAGGATATGTTAGTACCAACCAAATGTTAAATTAACCGATCAGAAAGGACGATTCATTGTGATGTGTTAACTTACATAATACTTTGACTGAAGCAGGGTTAATGCTCAGGTTCGGACTATTGGTGGAATTATTCAGAGCTTCTACTAAGGTTTGAGCAACAACATCATTCTGTGGGAGATCTGTGATGGCAGTAGTCCCATGGAACACAATCCCCACAGTTGCTTGAGTTTCGTTGTCTTTTGGTGGATTTAAGGCACTGTATCATAGAAAAGAGAGGAAGAAGTGTTATACTATGATATGAGATGATCCTGGTTCTTTGTTAAATAGGTGGTTATGATTCCATCTCGATTGGAAGTTACCAATGTTAAGTTCTCAATCATTCATATAGAATTCAATCAGAGAAGCACACTTTGATTTTTCATTTACCTGAAGTTTTTCAAAATGCAGTGGGAAAACGTGTTTGGAAACTTGCTTCTGTATTTCTTGTTGCACTGTGAAAAGAAAGCAACATTCAAAGACCATGAGTACATTTCAAGCACATTTTTTAACAAATGAAATTACACCAGGTCAACAGAATTTATCTTTCTATTTAAAAAAAGTTATTCTTTGGGCAAACACATTCTGTTCAATCGTCTTTTTCAAATTGCTTCTGCAATCAATAACAGATGTTTATTTCGAAAATGCTCTCACCGGATTTAGAGCTGCTGTTTCAAGTGCTTTGTATTCATCGCTGTTGGAGTCAGTGAGGGCAGGTGAAAAAGCCACTTCTTTAAATTCTGCTGAGAGAATATAAGTGGGTTCTGCAGGTGTTGTTGCTGTGGATGGTGTGGTTGCAGGTGGCACCGTTGTTGGAGAAACAGTAGTAGATGCAGCTGTTGCAACTGCAGTTGTAGGTGTAACTGTAGTTGTAGGTTGCACCGTTGTCGGAGCAGCAGTAGTTGTAGGTGCTGCTGTTGTTGTTGCAACAGTAGTAGGTGCTGCTGTTGTAGGTGCAGCAGTAGTTGTAGGTTGCACCGTTGTCGGATTAGCAGTAGTTGTAGGTGCTGCTGTTGTAGGTGTAGCTGTAGTTGTTTGTTGCACCGTTGTCGGAGCAGCTGTAGTTGTAGGTGCTGCTGTTGTTGTTGCAACAGTTGTAGGTGCTGCTGTCGTAGGTGCAGCAGTAGTTGTAGGTTGCACCGTTGTCGGAGCAGCAGTAGTTGTAGGTGTTGCTGTTGTTGTTACAACAGTAGTAGGTGCTGCAGTTGTAGGTGCAGCAGTAGTTGTAGGTGCTGCTGTTGTTGTTACAACAGTAGTAGGTGCTGCAGTTGTAGGTGCAGCAGTAGTTGTAGGTGCTGCTGTTATTTTTGTTGTTGTTGTTGTTGTTGTTGTTGTTGCAACAGTAGTAGGTGCTGCAGTTGTAGGTGCAGCAGTAGTTGTAGTTGAAGCAGTAGTTGTAGGTTGCACTGTTGTCAGAGCAGCAGTAGTTGTTGGTGCTGCTGTTGTTGTTACAACAGTAGTAGGGGCTGCAGTTGTAGGTGAAGCTGTAGTTGTAGGTTGCACTGTTGTCGGAGTAGGAGTAGTTGTAGGTGCTGCTGTTGTTGTTGCAACAGTAGTAGGGGCTGCAGTTGTAGGTGTAGCAGTAGTTGTAGGTTGCACTGTTGTCGGAGCAGCAGTAGTTGTAGGTGCTGCTGTTGTTGTTGCAACAGTAGTAGGGGCTGCAGTTGTAGGTGTAGCAGTAGTTGTAGGTTGCACCGTTGTCGGAGCAGCAGTAGTTGTAGGTTCTACTGTTGTTGTTGCAACCGTAATATGTGCTGCTGTTGTAGGTGCAGCAGTAGTTGAAGGTGTAGCTGTAGTTGTAGGTTGCACCGTTGTCGGAGCAGCAGTAGTTGTAGGTGTTGCTGTTGTTGTTGCAACAGTAGTAGGTGCTGCTGTCGTAGGTGCAACCGTAGTTGTAGGTGAAGCAGTAGTTGTAGGTTGCACCGTTGTCTGAGCAGCAGTAGTTGTAGGTGCTGCTGTTGTTGTTGCAACAGTAGTAGGGTCTGCAGTTGTAGGTGAAGCAGTAGTTGTAGGTTGCACTGTTGTCAGAGCAGCAGTAGTTGTAAGTGCTGCTGTTGTTGTTACAACAGTAGTAGGGGCTGCAGTTGTAGGTATAGCAGTAGTTGTAGGTTGCACCGTTGTCGGAGCAGCAGTAGTTGTAGGTGCTGCTGTTGTTGTTGCAACAGTAGTAGGGGCTGCAGTTGTAGGTGTAACTGTAGTTGTAGGTTCTACTGTTGTTGTTGCAACCGTAGTATGTGCTGCTGTTGTAGGTGCAGCAGTAGTTGAAGGTGTAGCTGTAGTTGTAGGTTGCACCGTTGTCGGAGCAGCAGTAGTTGTAGGTGTTGCTGTTGTTGTTGCAACCGTAATATGTGCTGCTGTTGTAGGTGCAGCAGTAGTTGTAGGTGTTGCTGTTGTTGTTGCAACAGTAGTAGGTGCTGCTGTCGTAGGTGCAACCGTAGTTGTAGGTGAAGCAGTAGTTGTAGGTTGCACCGTTGTCGTAGCAGCAGTAGTTGTAGGGGCTGCTATTGTTGTTGCAACAGTAGTAGGGGCTGCAGTTGTAGGTGCAGCAGTAGTTGTAGGTGCTGCTGTTGTTGTTGCAACAGTAGTAGGGGCTGCAGTTGTAGGTGCAGCAGTAGTTGTAGGTGCTGCTGTTGTTGTTGTTGTTGTTGCAACAATAGTAGGTGCTGCCGTTGTTGTTGCAACAGTAGTAGGGCCTGCAGTTGTAGCTGAAGCAGTAGTTGTAGGTGCTGCTGTTGTTGTTGTTGTTGTTGTTATTGTTGCAACAGTAGTAGGGGCTGCAGTTGTAGGTGCAGCAGTAGTTGTAGGTGCTGCTGTTGTTGTTGCAACAGTAGTAGGGGCTGCAGTTGTAGGTGCAGCAGTAGTTGTAGGTGCTGCTGTTGTTGTTGCAACAATAGTAGGTGCTGCCGTTGTTGTTGCAACAGTAGTAGGGCCTGCAGTTGTAGCTGAAGCAGTAGTTGTAGGTGCTGCTGTTGTTGTTGTTGTTGTTGTTGTTGTTGTTGTTATTGTTGCAACAGTAGTAGGTGCTGCAGTTGTAGGTGCAGCAGTAGTTGTAGGTTGCACCATTGTCAGAGCAGCAGTAGTTGTAGGTGCTGCTGTTGTTGTTGCAACAGTTGTAGGTGCTGCTGTTGTTGTTGCAACAGTAGTAGGGGCTGCAGTTGTAGGTGAAGCTGTAGTTGTAGGTTGCACCGTTGTCGGAGCAGCTGTAGTTGTAGGTGCTGCTGTTGTTGTTGCAACAGTAGTAGGGGCTGCAGTTGTAGGTGTAACTGTAGTTGTAGGTTGCACCGTTGTCGGAGCAGCAGTAGTTGTAGGTTCTACTGTTGTTGTTGCAACCGTAGTATGTGCTGCTGTTGTAGGTGCAGCAGTAGTTGAAGGTGTAGCTGTAGTTGTAGGTTGCACCGTTGTCGGAGCAGCAGTAGTTGTAGGTTCTACTGTTGTTGTTGCAACAGTAGAAGGTGCTGCTGTCGTAGGTGCAACAGTAGTTGTAGGTGAAGCAGTAGTTGTAGGTTGCACCGTTGTCGGAGCAGGAGTAGTTGTAGGGGCTGCTGTTGTTGTTGCAACAGTAGTAGGGGCTGCAGTTGTAGGTGCAGCAGTAGTTGTAGGTGCTGCTGTTGTTGTTGCAACAGTAGTAGGGGCTGCAGTTGTAGGTGAAGCTGTAGTTGTAGGTTGCACCGTTGTCGGAGTCGGAGTAGTTGTAGGTGCTAATGTCGTAGGTGCAACAGTAGTTGTAGGTGAAGCAGTAGTTGTAGGTGCTGCTGTTGTTGTTGTTGTTGTTGTTGTTGTTGTTGTTGTTGCAACAGTAGTAGGTGCTGCAGTTGTAGGTGCAGCAGTAGTTGTAGGTGCAGCAGTAGTTGTAGGTTGCACCGTTGTCAGAGCAGCAGTAGTTGTAGGTTCTACTGTTGTTGTTGTTGTTGTTGCAACCGTAGTGTGTGCTGCTGTTGTAGGTGCAGCAGTAGTTGTAGGTGCAGCAGTAGTTGTAAGTGGCACCGTTGTCGGATTAGCAGTAGTTGTAGGTGCTGCAGTTGTAGGTGCAGCAGTAGTTGTAGGTTGCACCGTTGTCAGAGCAGCAGTAGTTGTAGGTGCTGCTGTTGTTGTTGCAACAGTTGTAGGTGCTGCTGTTGTTGTTGCAACAGTAGTCGGGCCTGCAGTTGTAGGTGAAGCAGTAGTTGTAGGTTGCACTGTTGTCGGAGTAGGAGTAGTTGTTGGTGCTGCTGTTGTTGTTACGACAGTAGTAGGGGCTGCAGTTGTAGGTGAAGCTGTAGTTGTAGGTTGCACCGTTGTCGGAGCAGCAGTAGTTGTAGGTGTTGCTGTTGTTGTTGCAACAGTAGTAGGTGCTGCTGTCGTAGGTGCAACAGTAGTTGTAGGTGAAGCAGTAGTTGTAGGTTGCACCGTTGTCGTAGCAGCAGTAGTTGTAGGGGCTGCTGTTGTTGTTGCAACAGTAGTAGGGGCTGCAGTTGTAGGTGCAGCAGTAGTTGTAGGTGCTGCTGTTGTTGTTGCAACAGTAGTAGGGGCTGCAGTTGTAGGTGAAGCTGTAGTTGTAGGTTGCACCGTTGTCGGAGTAGGAGTAGTTGTAGGTGCTGCTGTTGTTGTTGCAACAGTAGTAGGGGCTGCAGTTGTAGGTGTAACTGTAGTTGTAGGTTGCACCGTTGTCAGAGCAGCAGTAGTTGTAGGTTCTACTGTTGTTGTTGCAACCGTAGTATGTGCTGCTGTTGTAGGTGCAGCAGTAGTTGAAGGTGAAGCAGTAGTTGTAGGTTGCACCGTTGTCGTAGCAGCAGTAGTTGTAGGGGCTGCTGTTGTTGTTGCAACAGTAGTAGGGGCTGCAGTTGTAGGTGCAGCAGTAGTTGTAGGTGCTGCTGTTGTTGTTGCAACAGTAGTAGGGGCTGCAGTTGTAGGTGCAGCAGTAGTTGTAGGTGCTGCTGTTGTTGTTGCAACAGTAGTAGGTGCTGCTGTCGTAGGTGCAACAGTAGTTGTAGGTGAAATCAGTAGTTGTAGGTTGCACCGTTGTCGTAGCAGCAGTAGTTGTAGGGGCTGCTGTTGTTGTTGCAACAGTAGTAGGGGCTGCAGTTGTAGGTGCAGCAGTAGTTGTAGGTGCTGCTGTTGTTGTTGCAACAGTAGTAGGGGCTGCAGTTGTAGGTGCAGCAGTAGTTGTAGGTGCTGCTGTTGTTGTTGCAACAGTAGTAGGGGCTGCAGTTGTAGGTGCAGTAGTAGTTGTAGGTGCTGCTGTTGTTGTTGCAACAGTAGTAGGGGCTGCAGTTGTAGGTGCAGCAGTAGTTGTAGGTGCTGCTGTTGTTGTTGCAACAGTTGTAGGTGCTGCTGTCGTAGGTGCAACAGTAGTTGTAGGTTGCACCGTTGTCGTAGCAGCAGTAGTTGTAGGTGGTGCTGTTGTTGTTGCAACAGTAGTAGGGGCTGCAGTTGTAGGTGCAGCAGTGGTTGTAGGTGCTGCTGTTGTTGTTACAACAGTAGTAGGTGCTGCAGTTGTAGGTGCAGCAGTAGTTGTAGGTGCTGCTGTTGTTGTTACAACAGTAGTAGGTGCTGCAGTTGTAGGTGCAGCAGTAGTTGTAGGCGCTGCTGTTGTTGTTGTTGTTGCAACAGTTGTAGGTGCTGCTGTTGTTGTTGCAACAGTAGTAGGGCCTGCAGTTGTAGCTGAAGCAGTAGTTGTAGATGCTGCTATTGTTGTTGTTGTTGTTGCAACAGTAGTAGGTGCTGCAGTTGTAGGTGCAGCAGTAGTTGTAGGTGCAGCAGTAGTTGTAGGTTGCACTGTTGTCAGAGCAGCAGTAGTTGTTGGTGCTGCTGTTGTTGTTACGACAGTAGTAGGGGCTGCAGTTGTAGGTGAAGCTGTAGTTGTAGGTTGCACCGTTGTCGGAGTAGGAGTAGTTGTAGGTGCTGCTGTTGTTGTTGCAACAGTAGTAGGGGCTGCAGTTGTAGGTGTAGCAGTAGTTGTAGGTTGCACCGTTGTCGGATTAGCAGTAGTTGTATGTGCTGCAGTTGTAGGTGCAGCAGTAGTTGTAGGTGCAGCAGTAGTTGTAGGTTGCACTGTTGTCAGAGCAGCAGTAGTTATTGGTGCTGCTGTTGTTGTTACGACAGTAGTAGGGGCTGCAGTTGTAGGTGAAGCTGTAGTTGTAGGTTGCACCGTTGTCGGAGTAGGAGTAGTTGTAGGTGCTGCTGTTGTTGTTGCAACAGTAGTAGGGGCTGCAGTTGTAGGTGTAACTGTAGTTGTAGGTTGCACCATTGTCGGAGCAGCAGTAGTTGTAGGTTCTACTGTTGTTGTTGCAACCGTAGTATGTGCTGCTGTTGTAGGTGCAGCAGTAGTTGAAGGTGAAGCAGTAGTTGTAGGTGCTGCTGTTGTAGGTGTAGCTGTAGTTGTAGGTTGCACCGTTGTCGGAGCAGCAGTAGTTGTAGGTGCTGCTGTTGTAGGTGTAGCTGTAGTTGTTTGTTGCACCGTTGTCGGAGCAGCAGTAGTTGTAGGTGCTGATGTTGTTGTTGCAACAGTAGTAGGTGCTGCTGTCGTAGGTGCAACAGTAGTTGTAGGTGAAGCAGTAGTTGTAGGTTGCACCGTTGTCTGAGCAGCAGTAGTTGTAGGTGCTGCTGTTGTTGTTGCAACAGTAGTAGGGGCTGCAGTTGTAGGTGAAGCTGTAGTTGTAGGTTGCACTGTTGTCGGAGCAGCAGTAGTTGTAGGTGCTGCTGTTGTTGTTGCAACAGTTGTAGGTGCTGCTGTTGTTGTTGCAACAGTTGTAGGTGCTGCTGTTGTTGTTGCAACAGTAGTCGGGCCTGCAGTTGTAGGTGAAGCAGTAGTTGTAGGTTGCACTGTTGTCGGAGTAGGAGTAGTTGTAGGTGTTGCTGTTGTTGTTGCAACAGTAGTAGGTGCTGCTGTCGTAGGTGCAACAGTAGTTGTAGGTGAAGCAGTAGTTGTAGGTTGCACCGTTGTCGGAGCAGCAGTAGTTGTAGGTGCTGCTGTTGTTGTTGCAACAGTAGTAGGGGCTGCAGTTGTAGGTGTAGCAGTAGTTGTAGGTTGCACCGTTGTCGGAGTAGGAGTAGTTGTAGGTGCTGCTGTTGTTGTTGCAACAGTAGTAGGGGCTGCAGTTGTAGGTGTAACTGTAGTTGTAGGTTGCACCGTTGTCAGAGCAGCAGTAGTTGTAGGTTCTACTGTTGTTGTTGCAACCGTAGTATGTGCTGCTGTTGTAGGTGCAGCAGTAGTTGAAGGTGAAGCAGTAGTTGTAGGTTGCACCGTTGTCGGAGCAGCAGTAGTTGTAGGTGTTGCTGTTGTTGTTGCAATAGTAGTAGGTGCTGCTGTCGTAGGTGCAACAGTAGTTGTAGGTGAAGCAGTAGTTGTAGGGGCTGCTGTTGTTGTTGCAACAGTAGTAGGGGCTGCAGTTGTAGGTGCAGCAGTAGTTGTAGGTGCTGCTGTTGTTGTTGCAACAGTAGTAGGGGCTGCAGTTGTAGGTGCAGCAGTAGTTGTAGGTGCTGCTGTTGTTGTTGCAACAGTTGTAGGTGCTGCTGTCGTAGGTGCAACAGTAGTTGTAGGTTGCACCGTTGTCGTAGCAGCAGTAGTTGTAGGTGGTGCTGTTGTTGTTGCAACAGTAGTAGGGGCTGCAGTTGTAGGTGCAGCAGTAGTTGTAGGTGCTGCTGTTGTTGTTACAACAGTAGTAGGTGCTGCAGTTGTAGGTGCAGCAGTAGTTGTAGGCGCTGCTGTTGTTGTTGTTGTTGTTGTTGTTGTTGTTGTTGTTGTTGCAACAGTTGTAGGTGCTGCTGTTGTTGTTGCAACAGTAGTAGGGCCTGCAGTTGTAGCTGAAGCAGTAGTTGTAGGTGCTGCTGTTGTTGTTGTTGTTGTTGCAACAGTAGTAGGTGCTGCAGTTGTAGGTGCAGCAGTAGTTGTAGGTTGCACCGTTGTCAGAGCAGTAGTAGTTGTAGGTGCTGCTGTTGTTGCAACAGTAGTAGGTGCTGCAGTTGTAGGTGCAGCAGTAGTTGTAGGTGTAGCAGTAGTTGTAAGTGGCACCGATGTCAGAGCAGCAGTAGTTGTAGGTGCTGCTGTTGTTGTTGCAGCAGTATTTTGAAAAAAATATGATATTTAAAAAACATATTTAGCATATATTTTTGTGCTAATAGTATTACAAAGTGAATAATGTACTCAGCTTACCTGTTAGAATCAGGAAAACTGTTATAATCTGGCCGACACCCATCCTGTCTTCCTTTGGATCTATAAAATCAAACAACACAGATACTCCACATTAACCCTTTCATGCATAGAGGTCATTATAGTGGACAGCTATTCAAAAGGTGTTTTATTGTATATGCATTGTTTTTGTTTGCATAGTTGCATCATCAGCCACTACATAGGACCCTATTGCATCATCCCATACACTGCTACTCAGTGGAAAGTCAGTGCATGTGCATGATACATGTCTCTAAACCAAGATGGACGACAGAAAGCCACATGGACCATCTATATCTTGCCAATCCTTTTATGGAAAGCATCCCCTGCAGGTATAAAAAATGTGGTGACATCAAGTAACAACTAAGGAATCATTGAATTCATAAATTCTCAAAGTATTGATTTTATGTTTGCAGGAAATCATGCATCATGCATCACTGGCTATATTTCAACTACAATTCATACTGGTACTGCTGCTGTTGTTCCCAGGGCCGTCCCTCCCTGTAGGCGGATCATGATGACTGAGTGGGGCCTCACCTTGTGGAGGGGCCCCACCTTGCGGAGTGGGGCCTCATCTGAGGCGCACCTATGCGCTTATGTGGCGCAATTAGGGTGGCGCGGCACGGTTTCGCCGCTGCGAGGCTCTACTAGCACTCATCAAATAACTGTGCGTGGGGCCTCAAATTGGCCCCTGGCCCTGGTTATTCTTGAAAATACTTCATCTGCAATATCGTTTTGAGCCGTAAATCAATATACTTATGTTATTATGATGTCATTTTAAGTTTGCACATCTTTATTTATCATTTTTTCAAAATGTACATCTCTTCAGTTCAAACCCTGAACGCATACTGTCCACTTGAGTGGACATATAAAAATCTATTTGAAAAAACTAGATTAAAAAAAACTAAAGTTCAAATCTTGTTTTTCATGCCCCAAGAGCAATAATAACACTTCCTAACTGAGGTTTTCACTATTCATACATGATGTTTGAGGCGCATTTATTTTCATTTTTCTCAATGGAGACACGCGCACGGAGCGCTCAAATGCGAGAATGATGCAGTCTTCCAATTGTTTTTTTCTGGGCGTAACCTTGCAGTCCAAAGGTAAAATTGTTTAACTTTATGAACGCCGCAGCGCACGCAGCTTCTCATGTGATGAGTAACAACCAATAATAGCAACAAGTTCCTTTATTTCTGAAATATTAGTATACAACAAATATTGAGGAGAAGTTGTTTAATATAGAGCAGGGTTATGGCTGGATTGTCAATTTTGCTTAGGAAGCCAAAATAACAGCTGTTTCAATTAGATAATAAGTAAAGGAGCTTCAGTTTTCCTTCAATATATAATTTAGCATAGGATACACTCGACCATCCTTTAATAAAGGTAAGGAGATAATGCTGTCCCACATTAGATTGCTGTCACAACATCGGCCATTAACGGAACAAATCAATATGACCAAGAAAAACAAAACAAGGTGCTACTTAAGCATTCTACAACTTAACTTTCTAAAGCGCTTACTTGTTTTCACCTATTAAACCAAACCACTATTAAACCAAAGAGCGAACTATGAATATGCTTAATACTGTAGAATGTTTGTTGTTTGTCATTTTTTACAACATGTTTTAATGATTATACGAACAGTGATATATTTGTAGGCCTGGCAAGTTATGAATATATTGCATGAAGTTGTCCATCCATCCATCTTCTCCCGCTTATCTGTGGTCGGGTCGCGGGGGTAGCAGTTCCAGCAGAGAGCCCCAAACTTTCTTTTCCCGCATGAAGTTGTATTTATTCAAAATAGTTTCATACAATCATTCTTATTGGGATTCGTGTGGATTACGTGTGAATATTTAAAGTGTTTACATTTTTGTATACAAATTCCAACATTGATAATGAAGAATAAATGTTTCACTGTTAACGTTTACAAAAAGCCTGTATTAATTAAACAACATCATACAAACGTATGAGGTATCCGATTGAGCTTACGCACCATACACACGTATACGGTGCGTTATAGTGGCATACTCTGGTGTATGGTACTTTCAACATGGCAGGCGCACATCAATCAAATTGTCTTAGCACAACAGTTCTTATTTCCTAAGTCTTGGTGAAATCTCTTCAAAAATGTTCATTGAGGGTAAGGACATCGGATAAGGAAAAGACGTTTGTATGAGTAGGATCTGACTTTTTTTGACAATTCGACCACAACCCTGGTATCACATACACACACATACAGAGAGAGTGAGAGAGAGAGAGAGAGAGAGAGAGAGAGAGAGAGAGAGAGAGAGAGAGGAGAGAGAGAGAGAGAGAGAGAGAGAGAGAGAGAGAGAGAGGAGAGAGAGAGAGAGAGAGAGAGAGAGAGAGAGAACAGCATGTTCTGTGGGACACGTTTTTAACGCATCTTGATAAATAGCACATGGAAGAAGATCGGTTGATTCTGATCTGCCTCGTCGTCTGTCATCATGCCCGGTTTACTTCTTTCAAAACACATTAAGTCGTTCAAAAAAATGCATCTGCAAGTCACATTATCCATTATAGTAGTACTTTTAGTCTGTATAACCCACATTTGTTTATTTCTGCGGAAGTATGTGAAATGTGAATCTAAGTTCCGTTCACTTTATTCAAAAGCAATCATGCATAGACTGAGATAGTATGTCCTTAGAATCATTTGTAAAGCAGAATACCACTTTTCACGTTTTTTGCTGAATAAATACTTAACTTTTTAAAGAAGAATAAGAAAGTAAGAATAATTACAATGTATCATTTTTCTTAAACCCCACATAATTAAAATACCTCCTGAACAGAAAATCCACTCTCACAACAATTCCAATTGTAGTTAATAATCTCCAGAATTGTATATAGACTTAAAAATGTACTTACCCCCAATGAGGTTAGAAATGCCCTCTTTCTTCTCACTTTTAATATGTTCAAATATTCCACTGTCTTTTAATCAAGCCAATTCCACAAATATGAAATTGGAAACCTTTCACTCTATGGGACACGCCACATCTATTGATGCCTTTATATTGCAATGGAATAATGGCTGATGACGTGAATCATAGGTCATTCCATTTTCAGAAATGTTGTCACACCTTAAAATTCAACAACACCCAATCACACGTTCCAGAATATCAACTGTTAATCTTATTGTCTTGCCTTTGTGTCATGACATACTTGCATCTCTTGTGCTTTCAATCATGTAAGTTGTCACTGTGATTACACACCCACCCTATTCTTGTTACCATGATATCCACGGATTTGTCTCATGTGAATTTCTTTCAAAGTCAACATTGATTCAAGGAGAAACTGTTTCAATTATGTTTGTCACATTTCACTGGAATCAAGGAGGAACTGATTATAATTTGCTCAGAGGTCAAGGTCACTGTGAGCTAAAAAAACAAACATTTTTGTCCACACCTGAAAAATGTGTTGGGTACTTGACAAATTCAAAAACATATGTATAAGGATTTTGGACGGAAATGACTAAACTTGTCTAGTTAGTGGAGATACTGTATACAACTAGTGACACACCTCACAATAAACAGCACCCAATCAATCTGTCAGCATCTTATCATAATAGTATCTATTCGCTTCTCTTGACATGCAAGAAAGTTGCTGGTGTATCCCATTTATAGAAATGGTGAATGACGCTCAGTGTTATAGAAGGTTATAACAAACAGATGATTCAATGTTAAGATTTAAAGAAATGCAATAAATTACAATTCTAAATATTCTTCTGAAGTATCAATATACATTCAAAATAAATGGAATTTGTATCATTATAACAATTGTAGCATATAGTTGTACTTTCAATTGTGTCCTGTGTACTGTACTGTAAAGCACTTTGTACATCCGTGTTGAGAAGGGTGCTATATAAATAAAGTGTTACTTACTTATATAGAAACAAGTACATTGCAACAGGGTTTCTGCAGAATTAATCACATTCAATTTAAACCCACAAACACATGCTTTAATATCTGTTTTATAATTACATTTGCGGAGGAAGAGGAAATATGATGGAAAGCCAGTAAGAAGAACATGCCCTTTATTTCATATTGTCATGAAGAGTTGAGCAGATAACCACACATTCTCGAGAATTTAATAAACAGGAACTTTAGCGAGAAATGACTTTAATTTAAGGTTTGGTTCAGGAATGGAAAAACATAACTTCACGTTGCAAACAAACAAGGATCCAACCAAGGACTGTACAGAAACCCAGGAGGACATCCGCATTACTTTAAATTGTTTCAGCATTTCCCTCATTTGCTACTTTTCCTTAGGTCCAAGCTCTGCCTTTGTGAGACGGGGGCAAGACATGTGAAGAGGAAATTCAAAGACAGAGGAATCCTCACTAATGAATTGGGATATCCTTCTTCACTCACAGGGTGAGACAGTCACTGGGCTTAAAGAGGCCCGGTTTGCGAGTATGTAAATGGTCTGAAAAGGCAACAATCCTAAAGTTCCCTCCAGAGGTAGTTTCTCTCCCCCCACTACCAGAAATGCATCCATCGGACTCCTTTGTTTACTTCCGTAACATAATGACACTACCATGCTACACTCACGCTTCTATTGGCTAACACTTCAACACATTATATGTAATATGCTAGGGGGTGGGACATCAGAGCAGACTGGGCTCTGGTTTCAGACAGAGGGTGAAAAGAGAAAAATAATGAGCTTTCTGAACATTAAAGCACGGAGACATGTCACAGTCGAGGCACAAAATACAAATATGAACCTGAAAATGTCCTCTTTAACTTAAAATAAACAGTTCAGGGGTGCCCACTGTTTTTCAGCTTGGGAGCTACTTTTAAAATGACCAAGTCACCGCGATCTACCTACATTAAAAATGCTAAACATATATTTATTTATATTTATACTGA